TTATGGCTTTCGCAACTGACTCCTTTTGCAATATAACAATCCTCTCGGACCACGTCTCCTACCCCAAACTTTGTCTTTCGTTTCGCTCTGACCTATTGTTTGGTAAACTTCAGTGGCTCTTTGTGGCAGTCTTTTTCGATAAAGTGTACAAATTCACTTGCTTCAGTGCTGTTAGAAGACGTGGAGTTCCTGCTAATGACCAGCATCCGGGAGATTAGTAGGCAAATTGTCCAGCATTTCCGCACTTTTTCGCTCCAGACTAAAGCATCTTTTTTCATTGTGTTGCAGCAGTTAAGCACCATATATCAGTGAAGCTCTGCTGTTTTGGTTGATAGGTCCATCGCAGACGACAAAAGGGATCTCGTCCTCTCTGCCACTACTGAAGACACTTCTATAACACCCACAAGCGCTCTGTGAAAATATTGCGTTGAAGGAATACTAGTGTGTCAGTGAAGGCTTTCAAAAGGGGATTCAGAAGAAGAAGCTGAGATCAGAACCTGTCCCGTCCAATTTAACATTGTGGTCAAGCAGTAATAGCGAAAATTAGACTCTAGATACACACAGAACCATGTTATGAAAACCGTAATATCCACGGGAAATTTGGCTTGCACACTAGACCCACAGCATTCAAAAACGCCAATAACGAGAAATCTCAGGATACATGCGAAACACTGATGACTCCTAAAACCTACAGGATGGCGAACAAGGAACTCCGGCGTCTCAGTCGGTAGCCTTGTTCGACAAACTCTGCAGTTTTGTAGCTCGTTAGTTGTTTTTGTTACCGGTTCATCAGTTTTTTCAAAGCCATAAAGTTAATTTATGATTTGTCCTATATAAAAATTACTCGTCCTGAGGTTTTTTTGAGTTAATTCTCTATTCTTTACTTGTCTCCCTTTCTTCTATGCATACACTTTCCAGATGAACCCGAAGATACTCCATTGGCCAAGACACTAAGAAAAAACCAGTACATCTTCTATGCATATTTTTCGTCTATTTTTATTGCACGTTATACATAATATACAAATATGTGTTGTTATCCATATTTTACTTTCCAACGGTCTGTAAGCAGCTCAGAAGGGGGATAATTCACATGACGCGCAAGCCTTCCATTCAAGACCCGTCATTGGAGCAACCAGTCGGCACATCATCACTCGATCTGGATTTAGTGACTAAAGGCTGATTCCTGGTTGCAAACTAATCAATCAGTAATCAGCCGATTAGTTTGTTGGTCATCTACTGACTGGGAGGTCTTAGATTTCCAAGTCTTTGATATTTTATGAAGTAAAATCAATGATGATTCCCAAACAGAATGAAAAAGCTCTGCAGCTCAGCTTCTCATCACAGATTAACTCTAATTACAACACGAAACCCTCCTTATATTGCTAGTAATATATTTTATCAAATACATTGAGATAGCAGTAGCATATTTCCATTTGAAAAAACTCCCTTCAGTCAAATTTGTAATTACGGGCACACGTTAAAATATCCTAAACTCAAGATAATTATACTTTTGCACGAAATACCAATATTTTGAACTCCATCTCATAAAAAGACAACAGCCCACCCTACTTGAGTACCAACATATCAATGTAGACAAACGGGAGCTTTGGATTTCGCGGACTAGATGAAGAATATGTTCAGTTTATTACGGCCGTCATTATCCGTACAAACAAAATTCATCCCGTCGGAAAAAGATCATACTTCCGTTTCCAAGTATTATGTTCTACTGAAACAAAAGAATACCTGTCTGCAGCTGACTATGTATGACTACATATGGACTGTGAATCGTCCACAGTAATAGTAAGTAACGGTGACTCCAGCAATATCAGCTGCACTGTTTTCACACTTTGCGTACCTAATTACGCCTATCACTTGTGGTGGACTGGAAATCGGATTATTTCGCTATCATTATTTAGTACTGATAAAAAGCTTTCGGACTCCGCATGCGAGAGTCGGCTGAATGTTCAATGTGCAAAGTCCGATGTGCTTCATAGAAAGCAGGTTGATGTCAAAATAATTGGAACGGACCAGATTTTCTACACTAAGGTTGTCTTTCTACCATTCGTGTAAAATTGACTAAAAAGCAAGTTTCTGGTTATGGATACAACCTACAAAATGGTATCAGATTAAGTAGGATATGGTGCAAAAATTAGCATAATAAATAGTCGAGGAGTGGCAGAAGCCATTACGTTAAAACACAGTACAGCCAACAATGTAAGTACATGCTGGTGGTACATAATGTGCCTGAACTAGTAAGACACAAGAGCACAAAATACACTAAGCAGAATATGCTACTGTATACCACATCTGGGCGAAAGATGTTTTCTTCTGTCCTTCGAGTGTGGTTTTTGTAGGGTGTGCAACTGTCTCCAATCTGAAAAATGGTTCCCCCAGATACCTTTAACTGAAACGTACAAAATTATATTTCATCTCCTCTACATTCCGAGAGGCTCTTCTACTAGGTAGAATAATCCAGTTTGTTCAAACAAAAGATTATTACATTGGAATCAACAATAATTTGGATGAATCTCGAATCAAACCTTGTTGATTTTCTCAAGCCGCTCTAGCTAGCAGGTGGATTGTGAACTCCGATTAAGCAGAAAATAGCCAAGGGGAAACATATTGCCCGAACATGAGCTCCCGTTGTTCCAAGCGAAATTGCTTTGGTAATAAGTAGGCGTTCAAATTAAGAGAATATGGTTTGCGAATACACATTGATGAAAACTTTTACTGGCCACAACTAACAAGCAGTGTTGGTATTCATTCTTCCTTTTTTGAGCAGCCGCACAAAATGTGTAGATTTACTTCATCAGTGATTCATTCCGTATCTTTTGAAAAACAGCTCAATATTTAGTCAATCACAGATAGTTGCGGGAGACTGACCACTCATCTTTCAAAAAGATCTGGAAACAAATAAATCCACTTTTGTTTTGCAAACTTTCCCGGAAAATAAGAATTCAGTTGATCAGATAAAATATGGAGGTGGTGGAAACTGAGGGACTACGTCAACTGATGGGATGCAAGGAGCAACAGAGCAATGGTGAGTTGTCAAACAACCTTAAGAAATCAATGAATAGTCCACGTGGCCTAGAAAAATTATAAGACTGATCTTACTTATGGGTAGATTTAGGCATTCACATGCCTTCTTGAAAGTTAACCAAGTAAGATCTCTCTGAGCACCAGTTTCTCTACCCAACTGTGTTCTGACCTCTAACCTGCTCTGTTTTATTCTACATTTTTTCTATCTATCAATCAGTTACCCTATCTCTCTCTCGTTCTCTATATATTTATCTGTTTATCAATATACCTACCTACCTAGCCACCTATCTTTCCATCTGTCCACTGGTCCGTCCACATGTTTACATACTTACTTGCCCCTAAGTACTTTTATGGCATAAGCTGTAGACCGCTTCGTCTGAATGAACTACATGCCTTACCTTTGTTGACGAGTTGCAATACCGGTCGTAAAGTTTACACAATTTATTCCCTTAACTGTCTTTTCTGGATTTTATGCGATTTTAACGAGTACCGACCACAGTAATCAGCAATGACACTTGATACTGTAATGCTGGTTGATCAATGAAAATGCATAAGATATAGTATTCGATCCCAAAAAACTTTGATGTGTGCTTATCCGCATTCGTCGTCTTCTTTCCAGAGAAAGGAATGGAAAATATACTGAGTGATATTTTCACCAACACAATGAGGTAAACAAGGTTTTCGTGGTTTCTGTTGGGCGAAACGGGATATCTGGAAGGATGTCTTACGAGTATCGCTTATTTGCAGTATTCTAAATATGTGTCCGCAAATATAAGCTTGTGGGTTCTAAGAAGTCATGCGACACAGTTAGTAAACTAATTCCGAAAAATTGGGGCTGACCTTACTTAGATTATGTGAACACCTTGCTCTTAATCTCAATCACGGAAGTTATTGTGCAGTTCGACAATTTTCGAACTGTAACATATTCTATTATTCTTTAAGTGTATATATAAATGGGACATTCGATTTCACTAACCGCACAAAAACGGATTTGTTTTGTCAAGTTCATCGATATTGTACACGCCTCCCGCTCTCAAGTTTACGAAGTATATGACTGTTTTGGTAAAACAGGGAAGATTTACATGTCCTCTTATATCGCGATCCTTGGCTTTATTAAAGATCACAAAACAAAGTGAATGACCGTACTGTACTACTGTCCAACGTCTTAGGGATATATTATTCACAGCATGTCCTACAGTTTCCCCCAAGCACGTATCTTCCCAGAACTTTTATAGCAAAAAATGGATACCATGCAGCGCTTATGCCAGGAAGTGAGTTATTAGTTCTAAATATTCTGCTCTTGACAAGCTACTTGCGCTGAGATGCTGAAAATGGTCTTTTTCGAGGGGTTTCCTTGTTTCAGAGCGATCTGTCATGAGGGTTTTTCGTCTAAAGTGAAGCAGGCTAGTCCAGATGTGCAACCGGAACTCAATATTTCAGAAGTTGGATAAGGTTTCTTTATCCGTCCGTGTTTTATGGCGGAGATTGAGAAATCTAATAGCTGTATAAGATTATTGAGGGAAAACATCCAGGTTTCATCCCAAAAACTAAAATCGATCAAAGAGGAAGTTCTCCTTGTCCTTTTATGCTCAAGTCTGGAAAACTGACGTCGGAAAACTGACGCCAAGATAGAAGTGAATCAAACCTCTGGTCCAGTGCTTAACTGAAGTGTTAGAGGATTAAGTTTACATTTGTAGATGCTCGGTCAGGAGTTGTGAATGCGAACTCGCACAACATTCAAGATATATTCTGCAGTCATTATTTCAAAATCAACACTTGTCAGAAACCGCAATTCTCTGAATAAAAAGTGAAACTGCTTTTCTTCAACTACTGCATCTATTGAGGCGGTAAACGTTTCTTCAAAGTTGAATCATTTAAGATAAGCAACTGAAAACTGATTACCTTGATTATCGCTGAATAACATGTTAGATGACCAAAGTGTCTGAGAACAATTAACTTACCAACCGAACAAGGGCATCCGCTGGCTGTGAAAACAGGACTGCCACAACAGACAAACTGAAAATCAACCACGCTTTTGTCATTGTCATTTCACGCGTGCGTGAATTCGTAACCCATACTATCTGATTTTCATGGGGTATTTATATAAGCCTGAATTACTTAGTATCATTTCTCATTGGTTAATTTTCCACTTTCACTTGAAAGGACCAGTGACAAGGCTGGATTGCAAGACATGTTGCCGAATATTTTCCAACGTATGGTGCCATGACAGAATTGCCAATTCTCCCAGTGGGTGCCAAAGAGTCGTCTTCCTGGAATTCAGGATCCAACTAACAGTATGAAACTCACAGAGGAAGTCTACATGAATACTAGTCACACAGCGATAGAAACGTCAGTCCGATCCCCAATTTTTTTGTAGGACTCAAATAGGATGTTGGGAAATATGGGCCACTCAGACGAAACAGACATTGACAAGGAGATTGCCTGTTTTAGTGTGGTTAGTATGACATAAAATGTTTGAACTTCACTTAGAAGATCAGCGAGGAAGAAAGTCGACTATGCTGGTTATCGGCAATTAAACCAAACTTATAGCGTCCAAATAGAAATCTGCTTTTAAAACGAGAATAAAAGTCCACGATAGCAGCGTGTTTCTTTACCAAGTCACATTCTGTTTTTTATTAGCAATTTCAAGTCTTCAACCCTGAACAGCTCTACAAATCATTATCGCCAAGGTCTCAACTTAAATATTTGATTTAGGTGCCCCGATTATTTATCCCAAACTCGAAAAAGAACATGTTTCCGATGGTCTTCACGGAAATCTGACCGCAATATGCCGTATACTTTATCCTTGATAGCATGCTTACCAACGTTCAAAGGAACATTTAGCTGTAATAAGAGAGCCAAATCGGTTCCTGACACTTCGTTACGTAGAGATCGCGTGAAAAGTCTAAGAAATAAAATTTACTGGACCGATGAGGGCGCCAACATGTCCTAACCATTTGGCTAGAGTTTGCCTGTCGCCGAAGGCTGGAATCACGTTCCATATGTTCCATAAGGAAGCTTAGTGAATTGCACTAATGTTACTCGGCTCAGACAACGCCTACAGGACTGGTTATTTTACTGCTTCTGAATGGCTTTGAGGGCTTGATAAAGCCCTCCCATGAAACAAATAGCTTCCAAACCTTTAGTTTATTTCCATTTGGTAGAACATCCTCTTCCTCTAGTTACATGTAAACTGCGTGCCGGTATTTTCTACCGGAAAATAAATATTGATGCCGGCGTCGTTTAAAAAACATCGACGGCTTACTTGCAAAATTTTTACTCCAAAATTTGCCGGATGCACGATCATATACCGCTGATCAGTGTAAGCAATCAAATTGCTTTAGATAAAAAATAACTGAATTATGATGGAATGATGAGTTTTGAAGGAATTTTTGGAATTTTGAGTAAGTCATCTAAGTGTACAGCGACGTTCTTACGTTTGAAGTTTGTTCATCGACCAACAAATAACTAGCAGAAAACAGCTTCATCTAAGTTCTGCATCACAAAAATTCAATAAGACAAAGCTAGCAAAAACTGAAATTAGTTAGTAGAAGTGAAAGCCGAGGAGGGGACAAAAAACTCAATCATATTTTTATGCTGAATATGTTTCCTCCCTTAATAAAAGTTTCATGACCGTGAATCACAAAAATTTTGCAGTGATCGTAAAATATGCTTGAAAATCCAAAATTTATAATTACGCTTTCTGAGGCGAACTAAATCCCAATGGAATTTTATCTTTGTCGAATCGCACGTAGAAAATATTGGAATAAATACCGTGAATTGTTAAAATTATCCCTGTTATTTTTGTAAAACATTCAGAGGCAAAAGCGCCAACTCTCACGTCTAATAAGAAGATGATATCTGATGCTGTTTAGTAAATATTTAATAGCTTTCAATATTGCTTGTCACACAGTGCGTAACTAGGAAAGGTAAAAAACGAGTGTTTTAATTGGCTATGGCTTCTTAGTAATTTTGGTTTCAAAACGATTTCAAATTGCCTCGGTGGGGGAGGAATTCCACTTGCAGGGCCTTTGCGAGTAAAATTCGCACACCGAGTGAAACACGGTTTAACGCTATAAAAAAGTACGGTATAATAAGGAGGTCTTCAGATTTACAGCAGTGTGAAGTTAAGATTTTTGGCTCTGTTTTCACACGCTGCCCTCACAGCCTGATAACTGTGAAAATCGTGTTTCAGAATTTGACTTGCAAATACACAAGTCATGTCTCAACTGGTTGATAAAGCCGTGTAGCACTTGTAAACTGCTCTTTTTCATGCTCAGTATCATCTTCTTTTTTCCCATCATTATCAGTCACATCGCTGTACAAAAGTTTGTTTGGCTCCAACGTGACTTTGAGACTTTTGCTGAGTGACTGTTGTTGTGACCGCCGGTTGGCTATATTTGACCGCTGCTAACACTAAACGTGAACAAACATTTCAGCTGCAAACACTGGACTAATATATTCACGCTTGTGGAATAATATTTCGACCACCGGGGATCTGGGATACCAGGAAGATAGAAATATTTTTGGTGTGGTGGTTCAACGGAATACGCAACTACGGAATCTCCTATTTTGAACTGTGAGTCAAGACTTACTTGTATTTTTCTCCTTGTGACCTTGTATCTAGCTTACATCAGTAATTTGTTCAGTTCACTAGAGACTCCATAGGGCCGTTAACCACTACAGCCGCGAGTATTTCTCATGGTTTATATTACTTGATCCTGAGCAGACTGGGATTTTTGTTCAATGTTTGCCTGTGGAATATCCTTAATCTATTTTGTAGAAGTCGGTGTCCAAGTTTCCTGAGATGAATTTTATCATTCTTTGATTTAATGACATCTTGATGCTGATGACTCTTGGCGAGCGTACTATACGTGCAGTTCCATTCCAAATCTGAGCTACGTGCTCCACCTTTGAAACAGCTAGTGAACTACAGATATCGGACCGTAGCCAGATTTCAGTTCAGAACCAAGTTTCTACTATAGTGGTTTAGGCGCCAAATTCCAATATCGCAATGAGGCTGGAGGCGCCAGCATGGTAACGGAAGATTATGCTAGGAAGTACTTGTAACCTTCAATTGGCACTCACGTGAATTCGATAGCATTTGATTTTAGGTATTTTGCACCTAGAAAGTTTGAAGGAAACAATATTCTTAGAGATCTGGCCGAGTTGACGAGTATGAGATGAATAGCTAGTCGCAACGTTCCCAATATTTGGCGCCAAACTCATCCCGCTCACAGACTTTATCAGTCTCAATTCTTCTTGTTGTCTAACTTCCAAGTTGTATTGAACAATATAATGTATGTAGCTACTTGCCTAGTCTGAGGTAAGCGATGCCCGGAAAAAGAACGAGGTAAGAAGTGGAATTTTCTTGAAGTAGTTAGTTGCTTAACAGAGTAGATTGAGAGACAGACAAAGAATACTATTTTAGTTTCTCATTAAGATGCATAGAAGAGGGACTTTAGTTGGGTAGTATCTTCAACTAGACTGTACTTTGCACAACCTTTCAGCGCCATGGCAATGATATAGAAATGGTATGGCTGTTGAAACACACTGGTTCACTTGTAGGTTGGTTCCAGATGGCGCGTATCGATCCAAGATGATGCAGAAAATGGGAGCTTGATTCATGGCCCTGTCACCAAATACCAAATTAAAGGGAGCAACGACCATCAAGCAATGAAAAACATAACAACGTATAAAACCAAGCCTGCGTTGATATCAATGGTGCGGTTGGCACTCTTCGACAGCCGCGATCGATTTGCCCGTTTATGGTTCTCCAGGCAGGTGTCATCCTCAAATTTATATTCTACCTCAACCTAAGTTGCACCAAATAAACGCGCTTGCACACCAATTTGATTTTTACAGTAGACTCATCTGGACCTACTTTTAAGCCCAAGAACGAAAAGACCGGTCGTGGGCAGTCAAACTTATGAGTAGTTTCTTTCATGCAAATAGACTGTGATGTCCTTAATGTCGTACCAAATGAAAAATGAAGTTGTGATTGTGCAACAAATTTGGTCTCATTTTTTCATAAGCGAGATTTAGGTGAGTCTTTCATTAAACCAAATTTGTGTACAAGTGAGTGCACAGAGCGGCTACGGTTTGAGTTCAATAAAACTCAGCCAGTGGGTTTTGTCGAATTCGTGTGGTAAGAATGGTTTGAGTTATTGCTGTCTGTCAGCCTTCAAGGTTCACCTTATCAGAGTTGGGTAAACCACACTAGCTTAATCGATAATGTTCTAAAAGCAGGCGGGTTACAATTATATACTTTTCTTTTTTTGCCACAGCTATCGTAGCATCTTGATTAGATTGGCAAGGACTTTTTGAAGGAAGTATGCACATGCAGTCATGAAATAAGTCAGTGAGAGAATAGGAATGGCGTCTAATCTGAGAGATTCTGGACTGCGTTGGGCGGAACGGGGAAGACAGCAAGTTGCAGTGGGATGACCACGTACCCAACTCGCGAACTCTAAAGTTCACGAACATGGTTTGATTTCGATTGTCTGAGGAGAGAGTAGACGGCTTATCTATCGTTTGCAAATAAGCAGGGTATGTAAGGTAACAGTCTGGCCGAAATAATTATTGAACAACCAATTAAATACCTCGCTGCGGGAGATGGTAACGAATTTTTTGTCACTTCGTTTCTTTGGGTTTGTGTCTACTTTTTAGACCCTCAAAAGGTATATGGGTCAAACTTGACCAGGGAGTTGTCCGTCCTGTTCCACAGCATACGTCAAGTCAATTTTAAATACTGCCTCCACACTTTTGCACGTCAGCTGTCACACTAAAGTAGGGATTAGGACTTGAAGTTGACCAGATCAAGACCATCAAGAGGAGAAACGGATTCAACAGCTAAATTTAGCTTGTTAGAAGGGGGCGGCTGGACGTCTTGCTAGTTTCTGGTAGCAGTAAATAATCGAAAGTATGCAGTTACCATTGGGAATCTTACTACCAATTATCACTGCCAACTTGGTTTTGACGCCTGTATTCTGAATCAAACTGCAACTTTACACGTATATCTCATACTTATAGAACTTTTTCACGTTTGACCTTCTG